GTGTGTGTGTGTGTGTGTGTGTGTTGGGGTGTGGTTGGGCCTGTCACTCATTCATGCAGTGAGTGCTCCACTGTGGGAGGAGTCCTGGGGAAGGGCCCTGGGCACCCAGTGTGTGTGTGTGTGTGTGTGTGTGTGTGTGTGTGTGTTGGGGTGTGGTTGGTCCTGTCATTCATGCAGTGAGTGCTCCACTGTGGGAGGAGTCCTGGGGAAGGGCCCTGGGCACCCAGTGTGTGTGTGTGTGTGTGTGTGTGTGTTGGTGTGTGGTTGGGCCTGTCACTCATTCATGCAGTGAGTGCTCCACTGTGGGAGGAGTCCTGGGGAAGGGCCCTGGGCACCCAGTGTGTGTGTGTGTGTGTTGGGGTGTGGTTGGTCCTGTCATTCATGCAGTGAGTGCTCCACTGTGGGAGGAGTCCTGGGGAAGGGCCCTGGGCACCCAGTGTGTGTGTGTGTGTGTGTGTGTGTGTGTGTGTGTTGGGCCTGTCACTCATTCATGCAGTGAGTGCTCCACTGTGGGAGGAGTCCTGGGGAAGGGCCCTGGGCACCCAGTGTGTGTGTGTGTGTGTGTGTGTGTGCGTGTTGGGGTGTGGTTGGTTGGGCCTGTCACTCATTCATGCAGTGAGTGCTCCACTGTGGGAGGAGTCCTGGGGAAGGGCCCTGGGCACCCAGTGTGTGTGTGTGTGTGTGCGTGTTGGGGTGTGGTTGGTTGGTCCTGTCATTCATGCAGTGAGTGCTCCACTGTGGGAGGAGTCCTGAGGAAGGGCCCTGGGCACCCAGTGTGTGTGTGTGTGTGTGTGTGTGTGTGTGTGTGTGTGTGTTGGGCCTGTCACTCATTCATGCAGTGAGTGCTCCACTGTGGGAGGAGTCCTGGGGAAGGGCCCTGGGCACCCAGTGTGTGTGTGTGTGTGTGTGTGTGTGTGTGTGTGTGTGTGTTGGGCCTGTCACTCATTCATGCAGTGAGTGCTCCACTGTGGGAGGAGTCCTGAGGAAGGGCCCTGGGCACCCAGTGTGTGTGTGTGTGTGTGTGTGTGTGTGTTGGGGTGTGGTTGGGCCTGTCACTCATTCATGCAGTGAGTGCTCCACTGTGGGAGGAGTCCTGGGGAAGGGCCCTGGGCACCCAGTGTGTGTGTGTGTGTGTGTGTGTGTGTTGGGGTGTGGTTGGTCCTGTCATTCATGCAGTGAGTGCTCCACTGTGGGAGGAGTCCTGGGGAAGGGCCCTGGGCACCCAGTGTGTGTGTGTGTGTGTGTGTTGGGGTGTGGTTGGGCCTGTCACTCATTCATGCAGTGAGTGCTCCACTGTGGGAGGAGTTCTGGGGAAGGGCCCTGGGCACCCAGTGTGTGTGTGTGTGTGTGTGTGTGTGTGTGTGTGTGTGTTGGGCCTGTCACTCATTCATGCAGTGAGTGCTCCGCTGTGGGAGGAGTCCTGGGGAAGTGCCCTGGGCACCCAGTGTTTTTTTTTTACAACAGCCGATGTTTTGTGGTTTTCATTTTAAGATGCTTTTTCCTTCTTCCCCATTTGGCTCAGCTCTCACTAGCTGCAGTCTCAGGAACCGGGCTGCCTTTTACAATCAGGGCATTCCATAGCTTAATGGAGCATGCATTCTTGTTCTTCCTGGCATAGGAAATATTGGTGCCTCTTCCTGGCATAGGAAATATTAACGGTGAAATCCAGGACTCTGTTCACAGGGAAGGAAGTCTGAAATTCTGAAAGCACGTACACAGGGACGTCCCCGCCCGACCTGGGTAGGCAGCGTGGGTGTGGTGCAGCTGCCGACCTTGTCCTCTGAGGAACTGCTCCTGGAACCACCTCATCCACAGACACCCTGGAGGGTACCTCATTCCTCCACATAATTAGGGGCAGCCGATGTCTGGCTGTGGGGGCTACAAAACCTGACCCCCTTGCCTCACGGAACTGGGATTTACGGTCCGCGTTTCTTCTGGCCAAGTCAATGTAATTATTTCTCTTTCCTCCTTTACACAATCATAGCAACCCTCCCCATGATTATACATCCTTTCCCTGTGTGTTCTGCTAATTCAGCCCCCAAAGAACTCCTTGAGAGGCTTACATGACATTCCATTGAATGCATTTATCAGACCTTAGGTGGCCAGCCCCCTCTGGAGGGAAATTGAGTCCCCCCCACACACCCAATCACTTGCTATCACAAGACATGGTATTATTGAAACACAGAGCTGGTAAAGTTTTAAGTTTGCTTGTGACTAAGTAGAGGGAAGCCAGAAGGAATAAATAATGTGGGCCAGGCTGGTGCTAACTCCCCCACACCCTGTATATTTCTTTTGTCTCTCTTTCTCTCTCTTTCTTTCCAGAGTCTTGCTCTGCTGCCAGTCTGGAGTACAGTGGCACGATCTCAGGTCACTGCGACTTCTGACTCCCTGGTTCAATTTATTCTCCTGCCTCAGACTCCTGAGTAGCTGGGATTACAGGCACGAGCCACCACGCCCAGCTAATTTTTGTATTTTTAGTAGAGACGGGGTTTCACCATGTTGGCCAAGGTGTTCAATGTTCTTGATCTCCTGACCTCAGGTGATCTGCCCACCTTGGCCTCCCAAAGTGCTGGGATCACAAGCGTGAGCCACTGTGCCTGGCAACCCTATTTCTTTCTTTCTTTTCTCTTTCTTTCTCCTTCCTTCCTTTTCTTTCTTTCTTTCTCTTTTCTTCTGTCTTTCTTTTTTTGAGACAGAGTCTTGCCCTGTTGCCCAGGCTGGAGTGCAGTGGTGCAAAAGTTGGCTCACTGAAAACTTTGCCTCCCTGGTTCAAGTGATTCTCCTGCCTCAGCCTCCCGAGTAGCTGGGATTACAGGCACTTACCACCATGCCCATCTATTTTTTTTATTTTTTTATTTTTTAGTAGAGACAGGGTTTCATTATGTTGGCCAGGCTGGTCTCAAATGCCTACCTCAGGTGATCCACCCACCTGGGCCTCCCCAAAGTGTGTGGATTATAGGTGTGAGCCACTGCACCTGGGCCTCCCCAAAGCGTGTGGATTATAAGTGTGAGCCACTGCACCTGGGCCTCCCCAAAGTGTGTGGATTATAGGTGTGAGCCACTGCACTTGGGCCTCCCCAAAGTGTGTGGATTATAGGAGTGAGCCACTGCACCTGGGCCTCCCCAAAGTGTGTGGATTATAGGTGTGAGCCACTGCACCTGGGCCTCCCCAAAGCGTGTGGATTATAGGTGTGAGCCACTGAACCTGGGCCTCCCCAAAGTGTGTGGAGTATAGGTGTGAGCCAGCGCACCTGGGCCTCCCCAAAGTGTGTGGATTATAGGTGTGAGCCACTGCACCTGGGCCTCCCCAAAGTGTGTGGATTATAGGTGTGAGCCAGTGCACCTGGGCCTCCCCAAAGTGTGTGGAGTATAGGTGTGAGCCAGCGCACCTGGGCCTCCCCAAAGTGTGTGGATTATAGGTGTGAGCCAGTGCACCTGGGCCTCCCCAAAGTGTGTGGATTATAGGTGTGAGCCACTGCACCTGGGCCTCCCCAAAGTGTGTGGATTATAGGTGTGAGCCACTGCACCTGGGCCTCCCCAAAGTGTGTGGATTATAGGTGTGAGCCAGTGCACCTGGGCCTCCCCAAAGTGTGTGGATTATAGGTGTGAGCCACTGCACCTGGGCCTCCCCAAAGTGTGTGGATTATAGGTGTGAGCCGGCGCACCTGGGCCTCCCCAAAGTGTGTGGATTATAGGTGTGAGCCACTGCACCTGGGCCTCCCCAAAGTGTGTGGATTATAGGTGTGAGCCAGCACACCTGGGCCTCCCCAAGGTGTGTGGATTATAGGTGTGAGCCAGCGCACCTGGGCCTCCCCAAAGTGTGTGGATTATAGGTGTGAGCCACTGCACCTGGGCCTCCCCAAAGTGTGTGGATTATAGGTGTGAGCCAGCACACCTGGGCCTCCCCAAGGTGTGTGGATTATAGGTGTGAGCCAGTGCACCTGGGCCTCCCCAAAGTGTGTGGATTATAGGTGTGAGCCACTGCACCTGGGCCTCCCCAAAGTGTGTGGATTATAGGTGTGAGCCACTGCACTTGGGCCTCCCCAAAGTGTGTGGATTATAGGAGTGAGCCACTGCACCTGGGCCTCCCCAAAGCGTGTGGATTATAGGTGTGAGCCACTGAACCTGGGCCTCCCCAAAGTGTGTGGAGTATAGGTGTGAGCCAGTGCACCTGGGCCTCCCCAAAGTGTGTGGATTATAGGTGTGAGCCACTGCACCTGGGCCTCCCCAAAGTGTGTGGATTATAGGTGTGAGCCAGTGCACCTGGGCCTCCCCAAAGTGTGTGGATTATAGGTGTGAGCCACTGCACCCGGGCCTCCCCAAAGTGTGTGGATTATAGGTGTGAGCCAGCGCACCTGGGCCTCCCCAAAGTGTGTGGATTATAGGTGTGAGCCACTGCACCTGGGCCTCCCCAAAGTGTGTGGATTATAGGTGTGAGCCACTGCACCTGGGCCTCCCCAAAGTGTGTGGAGTATAGGTGTGAGCCAGCGCACCTGGGCCTATATTTCAGATCATCCATCTGTGTGGGTTTTAAAAATTCTCTTTTAATTCCTCAGTCTCTATTCATTCCGCCAGGAGTCATGACACAAACTCTCTCTGAAGGCAAACACCCGAAGTTTATTCTCCACGACCTTCTGCACAAACTCTCCCCTCTAAACTGCCACGATCTGTTGAGGACCGTGATATTTTAGAGCCAGGATGGGCATGCTTTAAAAAAAAGTAATCTAGGAAAAGGCCGACAATCATTAGAAGAAAACATTGACAGTTTATGCGGTTTCATGGAAGAGAAAAAGGAAACAAACATTTGCTCAAGCAGATGTTCAGGGCTGCCTGCTCCATATACCATCTGCCTCTTTTTCTGCCACACGCAATTATTGAGAATCTCTCCAACCATCAAAAGTTCAGCCGGGAAGCACCTGTCCCGAGATTTTCGCGTTGTGATGAATCATTGCAGCATCTTGAAAGCGACTGCAATTAATTTCTGAATTCGCCTCCCTAAATGGTCTCCACCTGCCACCTCCCCCACTCCGCTGAGTTCAATAGAATGTAGCCTGTGTCCTGGGTGATGGTCGAGTCTTAGGTTGCTTTCATTTCCTCTTAGTTCCTCTAGGTGTTTGGGGTTACGGGGTGCCAGAAAACAGGGGCCCACATCTTTTGAAATGAGAATCAGAGGGCTCCACACATTTGTGTTTCTGGGAGAGACACACTTGAGGCTTTTGCAGACCAGTTTTTTATTTGTTTATTTATTTTTTTGAGACAGAGTTTCGCTCTTGTTGCCCAGGTTGGAGTGCAGTGGCAGCTCACCACAACCTCCGATCCCAGGTTCAAGCGATTCTCCTGCCTCAGGCTCCTGAGTAGCTGGGATCACAGGCACCTGCCACCACGGTTGGCTAACTTTTGTATTTTTAGTAGAGACGGGGTTTCTCCATGCTGGTCAGGCTGGTCTCAAACTCCCGACCTCAGGTGATCCTCCCACGTTGGCCTCCCAAAGTGCTGGGATTACAGGCGTGAGCCACCGCGCCCGGCGCAGAGCAGTTTTTATTCGTCATAGCAAGGAGGATTTTGATATTATGCTCAAATCCCTCACATCGTCCCTGGGATATAATCTGCTCTCCGTCAGATTGTGTTGAAGGAAGAATGAGGCGCTACTGAAAGGTAAGAATAGATGCTGGGGGCGTCACGGGCACCTGTGGCCGCTGCTCCATGGAGAACCTGAGATTTCTATTTTTTTTTTTTTTTGAGCCAGCAGCCGCTTGCAGCCCAGGTTATTTTTTGTTCTTGGACGGAAACCCCATTCGAGGAGACCTTGATGGAACCCTAAAAGCCTGAGTGAACCGGGAACACGGGGTGGAGTGGGAATGGCAGAATTCAATCCTTCTCCTCACCCCACCATTCTCAGCCCGGGCTATTCCGCCATCAGCCTATTCCTCCTCCCCTTCAGGGGACTCAAGGGATGTTTGCGACCAAGACTGTTGCTATGGAAACCACTGTAGTGTAGGGGACAGGACGGGGTGAGCAAGCCCTGCAGACTGGAATTTTCCAGGCCCTTGAGCACACACGGCGTGGATGTGAAAACACAGAGCCGGCGTTCGATAAATACCTCTATGTGTTATTAGGGGAGAGATGGAGATGAATAGTCTGATCTTTCTTTGGTAATTGCTTTTGCAGAAGAGAAGTCCTCTCCTGCAGGGGGAATGGTCGCCATCCCTAGCTAGCAGGGCTGTTGGGAGCGTTGGAGTGCTCCCCGCCTGCCTGGGGTTTTCTGCACAGGCGGTCACCTGGTGCAGGTGGAGATTTTCGAATTGTCAATTCCTGGCTACGACCTACACGTCTTCAGACAAAATATTTTGTGCAGAGTATTAATTCGCCATCCCAATCTGCTGCTCTTTCTCTTCTTACCCTGATAACTTCTTTTCTTAGTGGTTTTTAGAGCTGTGCTTTCCAATGTCAAAAGACAAAACGACAGCGAATTTTGTTCTATATGGTAATATCTATGTACACATAGATTATGGTAAAACAGGTGTACCACGTGTGTGCCTCTATCCCTGTCTCTATCATTTCAACCCAAAAGGAGGAAACGGAGGCAGAATTAATCGAAGTAGAGTTTATTTGGGCCAACCTTGTGGATTACACCCCAAGAGCACAGATCTGACTTGCCCTGATTACACGCTCTGATTAGCAGCAGTTACAAGTGAATTTTTATTTTTATTATTTACGTATTTATTTTGAGACAGAGTCTCGCTCTGTCCACCAGGCTGGAGTGCAGTGGTTTGATCTCGGCTCACTGCAACCTCTGTCTCCTGGGTTCAAGAAATTCTCCTGCCTCAGCCTCCCAAGTAACTGGGACTGCAGGCACACGCTACCACTCCTGGCTAAACAAAAAAATATAATTTTAATATTTTTAGTAGAGATGGGGTTTTATCATGTTGGCCCGGCTGGTCTCGAACTCCTGACTTCAAATGATCTACCCGCCTCGACCTCCCAAAGTGCTGGGATTACAGGCGTGAGCCGCTGTGCCTGGCCCGCAAGAGGATTTTTAAAGACAAAAAGGGAACACAGGGAGTAGGCTGATAGGAAGTCGTTTGGTTGGAATCTCACTGCTTTTGTCAATAAAAAGAGTCAAACCGTAAAATATTTAAGAGATTTATTCTGAGCCACGTATGAGTGACCAATGGCCTGTGACACAGCTCTCAGGAGATTTGAGAATATATGACCAAGGTGGCAGGGTGCAGCTTGGTCTTATTTTTTTATTTTATTTATTTTATTTTTTTTGAGACGGAGTTTCGCTGTTGTTACCCAGGCTGGAGTGCAATGGCGCGATCTCGGCTCACCGCAACCTCCGCCTCCTGGGTTCAGGCAATTCTCCTGCCTCAGCCTCCTGAGTAGCTGGGATTACAGGCAGGTGCCACCATGCCCAGCTAATTTTTTTTTGTATTTTTAGTAGAGACGGGGTTTCACCATGTTGACCAGGATGGTCTCGATCTCTTGACCTCGTGATCCACCCACCTTGGCAGCTTGGTTTTATACATTTTAGGGAGACCTCAGACATCAATCCATACATGTAAGATGTACATCGATTCTGTCCAGAAAGGCAGGACCGTCGGAAGTGACGGCTTCCAGGTCACAGGTGGAGACAAGCGTTTTCTGATTGGCATTTGTTTGGAAGAGTCAAGTTATCGTCGAAGATCTAGAATCAATAGAAGGGAGTGTCCGGGTTAAGATAACGGGTTGCGGGCAAAGTGGCTCACGCCTGTAATCCCAGCACTTTGGGAGATGATGGAAGGCAGATCACAAGGTCAGGAGATCAAGACCATCCTGATTTCAGGTGATCTGACTGCCTTGGCCTCCTAAAGTGTTGGGATGATGGGTGCCAGCCGCCGCGCCCGGCTTCAGGTTAGCTTTGGGATGCCCTTGGCTTGGCTGTGGGGAGGGTCCATCAGTAGGTTGGGGGGCTTAGAATTTTATTTTGTGTTTATAATTTACAGAAATCACATTGGTTAGTGAATAGGTATACATTGTGAGGACTCCATGACCTTTTTTTCTCTTGTCTAAATTCCTATCTAGGTGGCCTAGGGAGTCGCACTCTACGAAGCATAAAACCTTGTTAAACAGGTTCTCTTAGTAACGCAGTATCACGGGACCGACTCTCCAGCCCATCTCTGGTGTAGCATTGCATGACAGACAGGAGACCCCCTTAACGGCAGCATTTCTTTCTACTGAGTTGCTTTAGACAAAATGTAACTCTTTCAAATTTCCAACTAAAGAATCCTCAAGGCTGGGCTCAGTGGCTCACACCTATAGACCCAGCACTTTGGGAAGCTGAGGCAGGCAGGTTGCTTGAGCCCAGGAGTCTGAGACCAGCCTGGGCAACACAGTGAGACCCTGTCTGTACAGAAAGTAAAATAAAATTAGCCAGGCGAGGTGGTGCACATCTGCGGTCCCAGCTGCTTGGGAGGCTGAGCTGGGAGGATCAGCTGAGCCTGAGAGGTGAAGGCTGCGGTGAGCCATGGTCGTGTGAGACCCTGCCTCAAAACACACACACACACACACACACACACACACACACACACACCCCAAGAAACATTTTCAGATCTTCAGTGTGTAGGAAGCAGTGAAAAAAGAAAAGAATCCTTAAAACCTACTATGATGTGTAAGCTCTCTTGTTCAAGATGTCCACAGATTCAGGCCAAGTTCATATCTACCCTCAATGTATTGATTTGTGATTCTACCTGCAGTTCCTGTCTCCTCAAAATGTGTAAAACCGAATGGAGCCCGACCACCTCAGGTGCACCTCCTCAGGACCTCCTGAGACTGTGTGACCCCAGGTGGCTCGTGCCTGTAATCCCAGCACTTTAGGAAGCCAAGGTGGGAGGATTGCCTGAGGTCAGGAGTCTAAGCCCAGCCCGGCCAGTGACCTGTGGGTCACTCGTCCTGGTTTACAATAAACCTCTTTAAATATTTGGCGGAAATGAGTTTTTACTGCCGACAATCGTTAAGCTGTAGGGTATGGGTTCGAGCCTCCCATTGGGCATTGCGAATTTACAGCTACTTAGGGCGAAAGCAAGCAGTTTCAAGAGATTCTCAAAGCCTGGAGTAGGGTGTGACTGCCCCCTCCTTTTCATGCTTCTCTGGGCCCGAGCATTTGAAAGGCCTCGCATTCTTCAAATCTCCGGCCCCCTCTGTAGCTATGTCCACATCAATATCTGTTTATTATCTCTCTCAGTAAATTGTCAGCTCTGATGGGAACAAAGACTGCATCTGTCTCAGATGCTGCCGCTTGAAACGAGGTCTGGCAAACAGTCAGCAATCAACACATATTTGTTGGTATAATCAGTCAATCAAGTGGGGAATTGTCGGAGAGAACAAACGCGGTTTGTATCCTCGGTGCTGGCGGCGGCCATGGAACCTGTGATCCCCACACCTGTCGGTAAAGGCACACAGGGCTGGGTTTCGCCCTTCTTCAAGGACATGGTTTTCAGTGTGCACATCTTAAGTTTTAATATGCCCTAAGGATGTGCTTGACCTCAATCCCCAAGGGGGTACAGCAGGCCTGCGCCCTCCCCCTGCTTGGCTCCTCCCCCATCGTTCTGCCCTGGTCCTTAGCAGCCTTCTCTGGGGGTCTGGGATGCAGGCAGGCTCTGCTGGTTGCCATGGAAACTGCAGCGAGGAGCTGGGGAGGAGGCTGAGAGGCACTCAGAGGATGGAACTTTCCAGGCTGTGTGTGGGTTAGAATCCCAAGCTGCCATAGACTGAGTCCCCTATTTGTGTGTGTGTGTGTGAATGAAAATACAGCTGGACGTGGTGGCTCACGCCTGTAATCCCAGCACTTTGGGATGCTGATGCGGGTGGATCACCTGAGGTCAGGAGTTCAAGACCAGCCTGGCCAACATGGCAAAACCCCGTCTCTACTAAAAATACAAAAATTAGCCAGGTGTGGTGGCGCGCGCCTGTAATCCCAGCTACTCAGGAGGCTGAGGCAGGAGAATCGCTTGAACCCAGGAGTTGGAGGTTGCGGTGAGCCGAGATCGCACCACTGCACTCCAGCCTGGGCAAGAGAGCCAGACTCCATCTCAAAAAAACCAAACAACAACAAAAAGTGGGATTATGACAAAGTGACTTCACTCTTCTGAGTCTCAGTTTTCTCTTCTAAAACTGGGTAAACTTCTTTTTTTTTTCCACTTGAATCTGTAGGTTGTGGCGACAGTACGATGTGCTTGGAATTATTCATGAAGGAATGAGCCACAGAGTTGGCTTCTGGGAGGGGCGTCGGGGGTCTTGGGATGAGGGTGTGATCTTTAATTTTCAGTGCACAGTATTTCCAGTGGCAGAATTAAAACCACATCTTAAAACGTAGATTTGACTGTGAACGTATCACCACTTCGAAATGAGGGAAATTAAATCCAAAGCAATGTGGGTTGCTTCACTTTCCTTACAGGACTTATCAAAGCCTGCCGTCATATGGCACACAGGGGTCCACCTGTGTGTGTGGCAGCCCCAGCTAAGCCCCCTGCTAAACAGGCACTGCAGGCCTTTTCTTCTGCAACATTGTCTCCCTAGAGCGATGCCAGCAGCTTGAAATAGATGTAGCATTAATATATTCATAAAACTATGTTAGTCATCTGTATTGATCGAATTGAGCTTTGTGCAAGAAATAA